GGATAAGCAGGCATTGTAATTGAGTGAAGGGTGTCGTCCTTTTGCTGTTAGGTACAACATGTTTGGCCGAACAAAAATAGATATTCGAATACCGACGAATTCGGTCTTACATCCTTGCGTTGCAGATGCTGTATAATATCATTGAACCGGACCGTGGCTTGCTTACGCGGTCGAGAAGGCAGCTAGATGTAATCGCCCTGGAACCCGGTTAAGCGACACAACGTAACCGACTATTATTAATTTAGCTAAAACGGTGTTTTATCCAAATAAGGCAATTTGTTGCAATTTTTCGAATATTACAGATTATTGGACACAGACATCGATACATCTGACCGCAAGTAGGCATGAGCATGAAAATTGAAATAACAACTGCAGGGCCCCATAAATAAAAGCAAGTACAGCAAGCATAACAGTAACATAAAACGAAAGGGTTCGTATTTATCTCCACCAATGAGGAAGCAGTAGTTTTGGCGCCAAATAACTATGCACTAGAGTTAAGTACGAATTTAGAAGGCCAGATTTTCTGTTGCTGGTTTCGGAACTATTGACCAAAAGCTTTCTCGTCCTTCCGCAAATTTCCAGCTTTGTGAATGTGCTGAGAGTAGATGTTTTTCATGAAAGGTGCTTATATGACAACTTCTGTTGAATATACTTTCAGAGATTCAGCGATCAATCCAGCTTTTCCACTAATGATCCCTGGTGTCTTCCAATTTTTGCCCTTGCAACATTCATTCTTTTGAACCCATTGTTTCTTTCAGTTCTGCAGCAGACAGCAGCACACGTCATCTAGCAAATTCCATTGCTGAAGTCAACGAGCCACGATGCCACGTATTCAGCACATTCGATTCATCTCATTCTCGAAAACTGTCGCAGGAATTACTTATTCCCTAGGATAATTTGAAGAACAAGGCATTAGCCTATATGTATGTTAGTTTGCCTCCGTATATTCAGCGGACTATGATAATTTTGTTTCTCAATGGAGTTGATATATGAAAGAAGCGTAATCCTATAGGAAAGTTGGTTTCTCCCTTTCAAACTGAACTGTCTCAGTGAATGAGCACATCCATGTGCATTTTCTTCCATGCATGTCATTTAAAGGAACAGGGCCAGCACATTTACTTCCACCAATTTAATACACGGAACCAATTACATGTCTTTAAATAAAAAACGTTTATATATTTTACCTCATTTTAGCAATGTTTAAAATTTTGAAGCTGCTCAATGGATGTGTTGCCTCGAATCAAGCCATTTTCATTGTTTTTCGCAGCAGCAATGGTAATCTGAAAGAAGGTTCGTGTAGCTCCACGAAAAGCCATGAATGATGTATCACGTGAAACAGTAAAGCGGTGGGATAGCCTTGTTGTGTGGATACCGCTCATGAATTCTGGTCTTTACAAGGTCGTCGAAGAGAGCGTCTGTTTTTGTTCCAGGGTAGATAGACCAGCTCTACTCAAAATTCATGAGACGGCATCTGGTAACGTAAATGTTCATGGCGTGCGCTTCCCCGGACATTCACGGATTGATTTACTTTGTTTAACTTCAATTCGGTAAATAACTTAAATAATCAACCTCACCCTACCAGTCCTCATTGTAAGTGTACCATGAATGCAAGTCGAAGCTTTACCATCATCATTCTTTTCGAGAGCTTTTGAGGAGTAGCTGATGTGTCCCCAGCGAACTCAAAGAAGTACAGCACTTTGCAAAGTTTCAGTTACGACTTATATCAGAGGCGACTTGTGGGCAACCGTCAGCGGCTCTGCCTGCTGGCATGGCATCTCCCAGAACTTCCGTGCCCTCGCTTCAGCAGGAGAACTTGATCCACTTCGGTGGATCATGTTCCCACATTGCAATACGTAACCTGGGGCATGGAGGTGAATCGACTTAAGTAATATTGCAACTAATCACTTATAGAACCAACCAAATTATGGTTGAACATCTGGCAGCTCATCTGCATGCAACTGTAGTCATTCATTTTATGGATTAAAATGAACTAAACTGATTTATTACATGGTAATAACTGAAATTATGAGTCAGGACTGCTTTTCAATCTTCTAGGTCCATCATTTCGAACAGTGCCAAAGTAGTCGCGTTTCGATCATTGCCACATTGGATTGTGAAATTCGTGTCAATTCAGCACTAACGGATAAGGAGTCTTCTAATATAATTAATGATAGAACAGAAAGTCATAAGAGTTTATGGGCAATTGAGGACTTCACGTTTTGGATGACATCGACATGGTCAATCGTCACATGGTGTGCTTCCTCTAAAAATGGATAATGCATATGTTGACCGAGACATAACTCTAAAATAAAGTAATTCGTCGTTTAACTTGTTGTTGTCATCATCATTTGTGGCATCAAGGTCAAAAATATAGTACCCAGATTAATAATGCCTTATGTTGACTAAC